GTAGACTATCACTCACCCACACCAGATGGAAAACTCTACAGACTGTCGGTTCACACCCCATCACAAGCCAGCAAAACACCCACGAAACAAAGAAAGGTATATATATATATATATCGTATATATAATATATATATATCGTCAAATATATATATCGTATATATATATATATATATATATATACTCCGTGATTGAAGGAGGGCTCCACCCAATGAGATAATTGCACAACAGCAAGCAAAATACTGAAAATCTTATATCCAGTGGGCCTATGGCCTATCCCACTCTCTTTTGGGATTCGCCATACCCCCAACGGATAGAAATGATTTTGGAGTGCACTCCCACTAATAGATGGAGCCATCTCGACACTGCTAGGGGCGCCTGCTCGTATCAGCGTCCCTAGCAGCCGATCGGGTTGTTTCTTAACAAAACAAAACAAACAAACAAACAAAAAAAAAAAAAGAAAAAAAAAAGGAGTGCACTCTCCGCGTCCCTCTGTTCGGACTGTTCCTTCATCATGCTGCTTCAAAACATGGAAAGTCAGCATTGGGGTTTGTTTGGGACGAAATACATCGAGTTTGACCTCACAGAAGGAATGAGGGACACAGATTACTGTGCAGACAGTGACTACGGTAGGACGCGTGTATGTGGTTTGTCAATGAACACACGCCCCCGCGTCAACTTCAAGGTTTCCTGGTCATTGAGATGGCTTCGACATAGTTGAGGAGCAGTTTCAGTGTGGATCAGGGTACGCATCTGATCCCACTCTACTTACGGAAGACGAATCCATAAAAGTAATGAAAAAGCTGGGGCCGCTCCAGTTGGGCCGTAAAAGAAAATGGGGACCCCACTGGCCCGTTTCCTTCGCAGCTTTCACATGGGTTTCAGCGGTTTCCGATGGGTGGGTTGATTTTGGGGTTGGAAAACGGTCCACTTGAATGGACACTACCGGGACCGGCCCCCATCGTACAATTGCCGTTTGTGTGGCATGGAGTGCCACACAGGAGCGTCGTGGGCCCAGCGCGTCACGAACTTCGCTGTTTTCCTAACGGGTAAATCCCCCGACGAGCGTCGACTACCCTCCGCGCACAGCACCGTTTTTCCCTGTGCCTGCGATGACCTTCGTGGGCATGGCACTGTGTGACGTACCATCGCCTCGGTTCTGTGACATGACCGCTGTCTACCCCTTCGCCTTCGTCGACGACGTGGCACTGCGCCATCTCGCTGCATCTTCCACTTGGCCATCGCCTCGAATTGGAACATGACCACTGTCTACCCCTGTCGGGTCGATGTGAGGAAAAACAGTTTGGCGGTGTGAACATGTACTCGGGCGGTTACTTTGCCATAGCCTCGAACACGTGGAGGGCGTCTGCCGGTGGAAGAAGATTGTTGAAGTTCGCTGCAGTCGTGCACGTGTCGAACTAGCAAGGTCGATATGTCGGCGGCAGCCTGAAGCTGTAGACATATCCAACGTTGGATGGGAAAGTTGTGTAGTACAAGTGCGTAGGGGGGGGCTGGTAGTCGTGAGGCAGGCCGAAGGGCAATTCCTCGAGGCGGCAGCGGCGGCACAGTACCGTTTTTTCTGACGGGACTGGTCGCACATTCCCAAACGGCCGAGTTCCTCACACCCACGCGGGCCTGCCATGCCATACAGCAAACCGAACCACGGACAAACCAGCCCACCGAACGGACACATAAAATTTCATGAAAAAAAAATAGAAAAGTGCCCCTTCTTTTTCGCGGCAGGGTACGGGCCGAGTTCTCTTGCATTTTCCCTTCAGATTTTTCGGCGCCGTTCATTCCCTGCCCGCCACGACTACAAATGTTTCCACTCGCCTCCTAGCCTACCGGGACCTTCGACGAAATCGGAATACTGTGGGATCGGCCAAAACTCAACTTTTTACTAACCGTAAGTTCTGTGGGATCAGATGCTAAATCCCATGAGATATCAGCAGCGGTGCAGCCGCTGGCGCTACCACGAGCAGTGGGAGTGTAATTGGTGGCGGGGGGAGCGCTACTGGTTAGGTGGCACGAGAGAACCGGTGAAGAGCAAACTTGAGTTGTACCCATTGTGATCACTCCACTCACAAAGATCGAAGGGTGCGTGGTGGGAAACCCGTCATGGCAACTCAGGCTCTTTGCAGTTTGTTGGACAATACAGCAAGGACAAGGGTGAAACTCTGAAGAGTTGATGGGATTATAAAAATCGGGAGATAAACTAGATGTCGCATATTATTTGTTTTGTGTCTACTATTTTCTAAAGTGTAGACTTGGTTGGTAACCTAGGGATTGCATATAGGTGTTGTAGTCTTAGTGGGTTAAAAAGCGATAACCCGATAAGGTAGTATGGGTAGCGGCACTACGGAGGCAGTGTGAGTGCTACTGTCAGTGGTGGGAACGCTCCTTGCTTGTATTCTCATAAATACGGTAGGAAGCGAACTTGAACTGTATCATCTAAAATGTAAGGAACACTGGACCCGGTTTCCTGCAGGTGCTGCTCCCCACCTATAGATGGAGCCTGCCTGGGGGTACTAGCAGTGGCTGCTATGTCAGCACCGCTAGCACCACCCAGGGTGTGTTAAAAAAAAA